TCAAGGGTGTGGAGGAAAGCTTAGAAAGACACAGAGAACAGACAGCAAAGCAAAAGATCTCAGCAGTTCTTGTTTTTTAAATCTCATGCTTTTTAAGCCACTGTCTTGATCTTGGCAGTGCTTATTTTGGCACTGCATTTTGTGAACATTCAACACAGACTGTAGGTTTTGCAGCCAACAGCACAGCAGAATAAGAGGCAGTATAACAAACACGTATAAGAAAATGTAAACATGATTTCAGAGGCTTTATATTGGGTCACACATAGCAAAGGATCTTCCAGATGACCTCCCATTTCTTGAAGAGACCCATCACTCCTCTGTGGCCCTGAAAATGTAAGCCATACCACTCCTCAGAGGCTGTGGTGTCAGTGCAAACACAGCCAAAACTCAACTTCTCAGCCCACGTGGAAGCAAAATACTTGGGCTCCTCATGAGCCAGAGGGAAGGGATCTCCCCTGTTTCATGATCTGCTGCTCCGCTCTGGATTCCACTGCCTCACAACCCAGCGGTTCTTCCCTCTCTCCTGTGCTGGGCAGGGGCGCAGGCTGCAGAGGTGAAGCCATCTCTCATCTTGGGGAATAACGAAAACACAGTTCCAAGCACATAAAATTTCAACTGCCCTCAAAGGAACAAAAGCAATCCTGTAGAGCAACACACTAGTGAAACCGTTGCTGCTTTACAGGGCTGTGAAACAGAAAAGACAAGCGGCGACTTGAGGGGGGAGAAAAGCACAACAGGGAGTGCTGGTGCCCGCCGGAGGGACCAGTGCAGCGTCTGCAGTGCTGGGACTGCCTGCCCAAGGCCCTGCGAGAGCGCAGCACGCCTCCAGCTTCGGGAAGAGAACAGCAGCACGGAGCTTGGCGAGAGGAAGGCTCATCAATGCCTGTGTCGTTCCCTCTGGAGAAGTGAGCACTTCACCTGCTTAGTGCATCAGCGGTCTGCGGGAGGCATAGCTAAAGGTCCACGCTCCCTCCATCACCCCCCCACCCCCCCCGACAGAAATCACACACACAACAAGTGGTTAATGTTCCTGTGATAACATTTTGCACCTAGTTACGAACTATTTGCCTGGGCAGGTGAGGGGGGAGTTAAGGAATACTAATTTATGAAGACAGATAACTCAAGATAAGCAGATCTTGACATTTCAAAACTAGGAAAAAAAAAAAAAAAAGAGAGAAAAAAGGGTACCAGTTTGGCTGCAGATTTTTGCATATTTGGGATTGTGCTCAGGCTGCTATGCACAGGCTTACTCTGGAGGTCTTTGGTCAGGAAAAGGTTCTGGTATTGGTTATACCTGAGCTGCAGCAGTATAAATTTAAGAGACCAAATGCCTGATGCCAGCACATCCCAGTGCCACCTTTGCCACGCTCCTGAGCACTTCCTCAGTGATGGAGAGAGCTGGGTGACACAGCTGCCACCTGGAGAAACCATGGGTTCTAGGCACGCACCAGAAGCTGAGCCTGGTGAAAATGCTGCTTTGCTTCACTGATCTGAAGGCAACGGACCACCCACAGACAGCCAGACGCAGCTTGGAGCACACATGAAGTCCAGCCTCAGTGATTTTGAGACTCAAAAGCCACATTTACCATTTCAGTGTCCTGCATGAGAAATATCAATGCCACTTGAGCACTAAATGTGTCTGAGGAGGGAGCTGTATTTTTGGGTCATATGACTGCTCACTCTATACATTGGATCATACAGATGAGATCCTATTCCCTCTGCAGCCAGAGAGAAAGTATGCCACGTCTTTGTTTTGCTGCCTGATCTAGTCAGCCCCCTTCTATTTTCTTTGTGTATAGATCAGCTTCTGAAAGCATCTTCTCAGCCACATGTCCAGCCAACCTCAGTCCACGTGCTGTCTGAAGAGCTGGAATTACAGACTTGGACAGCAGAAGGGCTTTCATACCTCTGACACACCCAGGGGCTGGTACAGAGCTATACAGTTAAGACCATTACAGCTTTGTCCTAAATAACTGAGAAGATACATTCCTTAGAGCTAGATGAAATGGAAAATTCCCTTGGAGACCCTTCTGCTTTCTCTATGTCACACGGTCTAGACAAGGAGGGAAAAGGAGAGTTAGTGCTGCTGTCAGAAAGGCTCTTCCTCTGAGCACAGCCTCTTCTTAATATTCCTCCCAATCTTCTCCCACTAGCCACAGGTGGTGCTTGAATAGTGTTTGTATAAAAGCAACCGAGGAGGGTTTCTACAGGAGGACTGATTTCTGCTGCCAGTATCCATCCTTCCACACGTGGGATCTGGCAGCCCGCAACAAAAACCTCTCTTCACTATACACAAATGAGATCTGCCCCCTAAGCTGGCTCCAACACAACACCCTTCTCTTATGCTTCCCTGGCCTGAGAGACTAGCCACAGCAGTCCTGGGCACAGGCCCCACACTGTCTTTCCATTTTGATAAACAGAAGCACAGACAATGGCAGCACCAGCCCAATGCCAGACCCTCACTGGGGAAAAATCTTTTATTTCTTCCACAGACAAAAAATGAAGGGCTCTCTCGCTTCCTTTGTCGGAGGCCCTCCACTGAGCCAAGGCGGCCTCCTTGTCTCCCAGACACAGCACTCAGGCAAAGGCTCTGAAGTGCAGAGTGAGTTTGGGGCAGGTCACCTATTCAGGGCATGTGCTGGAAAGGTGAGGAAAGGAGGACGGGAAGGGACCACTGCAAACACAGCTGAAAGATGAGAAAGCACGGCCAAGGGCAGCAAAGGCACTCAGCAATGGCTTTTACCCCCTGAGAAAGGACTCCAGCGCCCACCAGCCCTCCTGCCTGAGACTGCACTTGTTTAGGGCACAGCTGGGGCTTAGTGGCTTATAAACTGCTCTCTAGGCTGAAGAAGGAAAGTGGTGCCCACTCAGCGTGGCCGGCACACCACCAGGGACGAGGAGCACACGTGCAGCCCACAGCCAGTCCTGCGCAGCCGCTCTGGGGTTAACAGCGCAGTGTTCCCACTCCAGCAGGTTTTGGTGTGCTCCAGAGGTCCGTAGCCGGGAAGCACGCAGAGCTCTGCGCAGCACTATGCCAAAACATTTGGGTTTGTTCAGAAATTGGCTTGGTTTTCCAGCACATTGCTGTGGGACTGCAAATGAAGAAAAACTGTATGGATGTTACATCCCAAATTTTCAGTGAAGTTTCAGACTCCCCTCGACTCGCTTTAGACATTAGACAGTCATAGAAGCAGGCGCGTGCCTGTGTTCAACAGCTAACACTGTTCCTCGGAGGCAATGACATTTCCCACGGATGTTGCCCACGCTATCAGCACACAGACTCCCCTGCTCCTTTCCCTCCTTTTCCTGTCGCTTGCCAGCAGGCAGCCCCAGGGACAGCAGATCCAGTTCCCCCCCTCCACTTCCTACTGCCACAGAGCAGTGCTACTACAAATCCACTTCCAGAAGGGTGATCCCAGGCTTAAGCCTGAACGGGCACAGCACGTCACGGAAAGAGAGGCAGCAGTGGATGCATGGGCACCTGCCAGCAAAGCTGCTCTGTGCTCAGCCTCCTATAAATGTGCTCTGCCCCAACCTGGCGACGGTGCACCTGTGAGCCACGCACCTTCAGCAGCCCATGCAGAGAGGGCTGCACGGGGTCTGTAAGCCCGGCTCAAAGATCTTTTCCATGTTCCAGCTTAAGCAGATCTTTCCAGTTTGTTTTGCTGGATGATAAAAGTCACCAGGAACCACGGGTGACATTTGGTCCTGGGCTCTCGTGCCCAGCCCAGAGCTGCCGGGGAGTGAGATGCTGTCATCTGTGGCTGGCTCCTCGGCAACTACAGCACCAGGCTGCAGATGGGATAGCCATACATCCAGAACCAGAGAGCAGATGTCCCTGTACCACCCTGGCCACTGGAAACCCCAGCAGTTAAAATCTGGTGCTGAAATGCCTCCACGTATCCCTCCCCCACTGCCTCTATCCACGCTCTGGTGCCAAGACCTTGTGGGCACAAGCCGAGACAGATTTGGGGCTCAGTGTTGCCTGCGGTGCAAACAGTGCCTCCGGGGGGCTGCAGTTAACGTACACTGCTTCCACGCGGGAAAGGACGGGGACGACCTGCCACCGCACCCCACAACCCCACCTCCAGAGCGGTTTAAACCAGAGGCTGAGAGCCCAAGGAATCCTGACTGCAGCCCCAGCATCGCCCAGGCTGATCCAGGCTTCGATCCACAGGGCTCTGGTAGTGGGAATGAAGAAAACGAGGGATCTCGCCCGACTTTCCAGAGAGATGCTCAGCGCGGGGGCTGCCCGGTGTCAGCGCCGTTCTCCGCCCGAGCGGGGCTTGTCAGCCGAGCCCAGGCGGGACAAACGGTCCAGCACCCGGTGCCAGCGGGAATGAGGCATCCAGGGGCTGGAGGCAGGAGGGACGCTGCCCCCCCCCGTCCCTCTCAGCCCACATTTGGCCGGGAGCGCCCTTGCAGGCTGCAGCCCCGCCGTCCCAAGCGCAGCCGAACCCCGATGGGCTGACCTGCGGAGGGTCCCGGTCTCCCCCAGACCCTCGGTGGCGGAGTGTCCCCCCCCCCCTCCCCGCTCGGGTCTCCCTCCCCTGCCTGCGGGAGGGCAGCGCTGCGGCGGCCGGGCCGCCCGCCCCGGCACCGGCACCGGCGGAGGGACCGGCACCGGCACAAACACGGGGCGGCAGCAGGTGCCTTTGCCGCGGCGCCGGGGCGCGGGAGGCGGCCCGGCTCGCGTGGGGCGTCCCCCCGCGATGCCGCCCCACGGCGCCTGTCCCCGGGCCGGGCGGGGGCAGGGTGCGTCGCCGCCCCGCATCCCCGCACCATCGCATCCCGCATCCTCGCCCCGACGCCCCAAAGCACCCGGCCGCCCGCCCGCTCCCGCAGCGTCCCGAAACAGCCCCCGCTCCCCCCCCCCCCCCCCCCCCCCCACCCCAACCCTCCGGCGGCACACCTGCCCACGGCGCGCCCCACGGAGGCGAGCAGGGCACGGCAGGCGACACGCGTGGGCAGAGCGGAGGCGCCCGCGGCGGCTTGCCTACCTGGGGCGGCGGCGGGCAGCAGCGCGGCGAGGAGCAGCAGGGCGGCCCAGGGCCGCGGCGGGGCGCGGGGGGGCGCGGCGGGCCCCGCCATGGGGCCGGGGGGAGCGGGCAGCGGGGCGGCGGGAGCGGCGGGGCGCGGAGCTGCCGCCCGCCCGGCGTCCGTCTCCGCGGGGGCTGCCCCGCTGCTTCCTGCGCGCCCCGCCGTCTCCTCCTCCCGGGCTGCCGGGACACTGCAGCGGGGCGGCCCCACGGAGGCGGGCGCCGGCCCCCCGCCCACCCGCGGAACCCCGGCCCCCGCCGCCCGCCCCGGCCCTCGGTCCCGGCAGCGTCCCCTGCGCTCACCTGGTTCCTCCAGACAACCTCCCCCCCGCGGGGGGTTGGGCGGATCGTGAGCTCTGAGCCTGTCCCTCGGCACCCAGGGGAGTTTCTGCCGGCCCACGCGTGTGACCCACGCACCGTGCTCCCTCTTGGCTCGTCCCCGGTGGCGCTGCGCCCTCCCCGCCGAGGTGGGTGTTCAGCCCCGGGCGGGCGCAGGCGGGCACGGCTTGCCCACCGCCTTTCTCCTCTGCGTGGGTTGGGTGCCCGTCCTCCCCACGCGCGCCCGAGCCCCTGCCCCAGCAATCGAGAAGTTGCATGAGGCTGGGCTCAGGCCTGGCTGTATGTGTCGGCGTGGACACGGCGTCCTGCCCCAGCCTCTCCCCGGGGAGCACAGTGGCACGATGGCCCTGCTTTCGGTGGGTTTGACCGCCTTTCCCCCAGCCCACGGGCGCTGCACCCACACAGCTGCCTGGCAGCAGCACGGAGCTGTAACTATCGCTTCTCCTGCGGCGGGGCGGGGGGGGGGGCCCGGGGGTACCCCCCCACCACCACCTTGCAGCTGGAATAGGAATGGCTGCACAGGACTTGCACACTGTCTTTCCTTCTTCATGTCATCTTTCGTTCTTTCTGTACTCCTGCCTCACATCTGGTCGGGGGGGTTGTTTCAGTCCAGTCTTGGACGTTTCAGTCAGATTTTTCTGGTCCCCTCCATCCCCCCCCCCCATCTACATTTTGCTGCACTGCTGAAGAAGACCCATACTTTCACAACAATCAATAACGGGTTCTCTGCTGCAGAAACTAAGCCAAGAAAAAAAAAAAAAAAAGGAGAGGGGAGGGGGAATTAAGGTTCTTGCCTGCGATGGAAGGAGAGGTCAGATACAAGAGTTTCTGCAGGTACTGTGAAAAAGAAGCATCACATTTCCTGGAAAACAAAACAAAACCACACCAAAAAATAAAAATAAAAACAAACAAACAAACAAACAAACAAACAAACAAACAAAAAAAAAAAAAAAAAAAAACAAACAAAAAAAAACAACCAAAACCAAAACCCAGACCAAAGAAACAAAAGTACAGTTCAAAGAAAGGCAAGTAACACAAGTAACATGGCAGACTTGGCACAGAAATCTGTCAGGTACCAGCTCCACACGTGCTTCTGCCCAGACACCCGTCCTGGCATGCTGCTGCACAGCCCTGTGGCTGAGCGCATGGGGGTCCGGCACAGAGCCAGCCCCCAAATCACAGGCTACACCTCTGCTGCTGGATGTAGTGGCTCCCGGGACTCCGGCTGCTCCCACAGCCCCCCCTGCCCACGGGAACACACCGGCAGTGTCTGCTGCGTGGTCTCCTTTGGGCCCCAGGTGTTACCCCTGTGCATTTTTGTCAGCTTATGGTGTCCGAAATGGGGGGAAGATGGTACTAACAGGTGAGCTGGATGGGATTTTCATAGCAAAATGCCATGGGCTGCATACCCTGGTGGTGTTACAGTGGGGATGGTGTTGGAGGGTTCTGTGGGGCACAGGGAGCCAAACCTGGTGCCTGCTCATCCATACTGGGTATGGGGCAGCTCCCTGCAGATCTGCACCTGGGTTTTGTTTCAGAACAAGGTGATCGGTCAGGAGCCTGGGAGCAGGTGGAGAGTTAAGCAGCCACATGCAAGATGGGGACCATACCCCAGAACTGAAGAGAGGAGCCAAATTACACGATGGCATAGGTACACTGTGACAAGAAAAGGGACCCAGTCCCAGCCCTTTGCTGTGGGAGTCTCCAGAAAACTGTCTTTCACCACTCCTGGAATTGTTCCCCCCAGAACCTGACTGCTACAGCTCTGGAGGGGATTTTAAAAACAAAGCAGCACATTAAAAAGAAGGAGTCTCTAGATGACAAGGTTTAAGACAGCTCAAGGCAAGGCACATCCATAATATCACACATTCAACGTATTGCTGCCTGTTGCAGCCTGTTGGCCCTGCAGTGAAACAAGCAGCATTGGTAACCTTCTCCTCTTCTTATTTTTCACCGTTCCCCTCACTTCCCCGAATGCTACCCCTGCTGCTTGAGCATCACTGTCTCGTTATCCTGCTTTGGCTGCAATCCTCCCCTTCATGAGGGCCCTCCTCAAGGATGGGTCTGCAGTGCTGTAGGAGCAGCCATGTGGTGGGGTGTTGAGCTTAGCTAGCCTGGTGCATTAAATGTCACCTGCGCCTTGAGTGTAAATTTGAAAGGCCTTTTCTGGATTATGGGACTGACTTGAAGATTGACTAGTTAACAACATATTCAATTCTCACCTGGGGCAGCAGCTGTTCCTGAGATAAGGCGAACTCCACTTGGAAGACATGGCAGCTGGGGGAAAAAAAACCACCCAAACTGAGAGAACTGAATATTTGGGTCAAAAGTTTTAGTAAATAAACCTGGGTAAAGATCTACTAGAGTCTGGATCTCAACATCACAGAAATCCAAATCCTGCCTAAAATCTGTAGCAAGAGCCTTTCTGCATGAGGAAGGCACTGTCGGACATGGTGCCACATGGGAATTGCAGTGGATGTAGATCCCGGACAACGTGGGGGTGCCAGTACTCCCTGACAGGGACATCTGAGCTTGTCCTCAGGAGCACATGGTACCAGCCAAGGCAGGAGGCACAGCCTCAGCATGTCCCTCCAGCACCCACATTCCCCCCCAGTCCCCAGCTGGTCATGCGTGGCAGAGGCAATGTAGGGGACCCTCCACGGGAGCTGACATTGCTCATCAGGCTCGAGCACCACTTGGTGCTTTTTAAGTAATAGCTCTGAAAGGGGCAAACCACAGCACTTTTCAGCTGGAGGGAAAATGGTGTATGGATGTATTGGAAAGGGTGAATCTTTGCAGAGGTCACAAGTCTGGAAGGGTTTATGTTTTCCTCAGTTGTTTCTTCACTGCTCACCCAGTGCAAGTGCATCCAGGGGAGGCAGAGGACTGAATATGCAGGAGTGCAGCCACCTGCCTGGATGAAACTACCCACTCTGCACACCTGTACGTGCTGTGCAGCCTTAGACATTTTTCTTTTAAAAGGCAGAATTCCATCTAGAATGTGAAAAACTCAGGAATCATCCAAGATGCCATGTTTCTATGAGTATGGACTTGTTCCTATGGTAATGTGGAATTTGGTTTGGTTTTTTTTTTTTTTTTTTTTGCAGGAAAGGAATTTTCTATAATTAGCCCAGCTGACATTAATGTCACATCTAAGACTAAATTATAGCCCAAACCAAGACTAGAGGTATTTGGGATTGCTGATACTTTCTCTCTCATTTATGCAAATGTTTCTCTTTTAAGCCACACAAGGCCAGACAAATAATCACTGTACGCTGGTGAATCCCTGAACAGAGAAGGTGAAGCACACCAGCAGCTTGCCTTCTGGATTTCTAAAAAACTCATTGGAGCAGGTCCTCAGCTGGCATGACCTAGCAGAGCTTCTTCCCTCATCTCCTTTCATCCTCTTTTGAGCTCTGCTAATTATACCAGCTAATGAAACAGCTTTTTTAAATTTGGCAAATAAACTTATTCACTCTTGACTTCTAGAATGTTTGTCATTAATGCAAAGGAAAGACAGCTGAAGCCTCTGGAGTAGAAATTGTAATCCCACCAGTTTGTAGAGGCAGGTTTATAAATAGAAGAGACAGAAGAATTTTAGTAAGCCAGATTGCCCAGGTATTCATAGACAACCTCAAGTGTTCTCTACAGAGAGTTTTTCTCTGCGATCCGGAGTGCTGGCTGCAGGTCACTTGAACGTAGGCAAGCAGGATTCAGCCCTGGCATCAGTACAGGTGTGGATGTGGCAGCGTGGGCTCGGCTACAGGCACAGTTCAGCACCCAGCAAGTAGAGCCACATCTGCTGTGACAGGTGTCTAAGAGAGCTAGCTTCCACACAGACTGCAGTCACAGCTTCGGATCCAAGTGAAAACATAGCAGCCTTTCACTAAATTCCAGTGAGATTTGCTTTACGCATGCACAAGAAGGTAGGAATGCTGCATTAAATGCTGCTAAGGGAGTTTCTGACCACTTATTCTAATGGTGATCATAGCTCGGCACAGCTTTGTTTAAATTATTTGACACCCTTGTCCTGTAAACATTTGGCATCTGTTTAACATTAAACCTGCACAAAGTGCAAGGATTATTTATATGCATAAGCCTAAACATCTATTTTACGTCAAGATGAACAGAAACCATTTTAAGCTTGTTAATCATGTAATGCTTTTGGGCGAAGTGTACAATTCAGTTGAAGGCCACTTACAGAGAGAAAAGAAGCTGAGAGCCAGGAAATGTCTTCCAGCCATGTAAAACTCCTGTGAGCACCTGGTAACCACCCCTCTTCCTTGCAGGTTGCCCTGTTCCAGCGTGAGCATATGCACAGGTTGGTAAAAGCACAGATAGCTGCCTCACATAAAATAAATGCTCATTTTTTTAAAAGAAGACAAGGTAGAATATGTGCTTGTAATGGGCAAATCACTAGTAGTCAATAACTTATTTGCTGAATTTTGCCTATTTGGGTGATCACTTCTCTACAAACAGTTTCTTTACTGCATTTGTTAATTATTTCTGTTTAGGTGGGAAGACGAAGCAAGCCCTGAAGCTTGTCAAACCTGGGTACTGTTGACTGCCTAAAGCACACAGGCCCCAGAGGTGTGGGACCACTGCCAGTGTGATGCCTCGACATCAGTGTTCACACCCTGGGAACTGTCAGGAGAAAGACTAACTGACATAAACTTTGATGATGGGCACCATAAGAGAAGCAACACTCACTGACTAGGTTCAAGAGCATTTCAACTGCTAAAGCTCACGCTCTTACCATGGTTTCTTCCAAATTAAACATGATCGTGGCTGCTGCCAGGACAGGAGAAAATGCCTTATCCCTCTGCACTGAGCCCCCCACAAAGGAAGATCAGTGAGGTGGAAAGGCACGTAGAGTTTCAAAGCTCCAGTTCCATGTGGCTCTTGTGTGTCCACATTGCAGCTGTTGGTAATGTCGAGACATGGCACTGGAAGAAGCCTCAAGTGGAGACAGCAGTTGTGTCTCTACACAAAATCCTGACCTATGCCACTTTGCCAAAATAAATGGATTTTTGTCACAGCTCCAAGGGGTAGAGGGCATCTGTGTTGCATGGATGGGTCCTGCAGCACAGCCTGGTTATATGATGAAGAGTTTAGGACTTCTATACCCCCATTTTCACCCTTCTCCCCTTAACTCCTACAGCAGGAGCTACAGCACTCTGCCAGAAGTTAGGAGTGTTGAGGACACAGGAGGAGCTGCCCTTACTCCCTGCTCCTCTTTGCCTGGTGACACCACGGCCAGCAGCTCAAAGCAGTGATTGCAGGGAAGCTCCTGTGCTGCTGGCCCAGAGACGGTGACAGGAATTGGGACAGGGACAGGGAGCTCTGGTCCTGCGTGGAAAGGGCTCTTGCCAGGCTCTGCACTTGCGAGGATTGTGAGATGATTAGGCGAGCTTTGTGAAGACAAGAACCTCAGAGGATTCATATCCCAACTCTAATAAATGTCTGCTGGACCCATGTAAACTCTGCCGATTTAGAGATTTGTCCAAGCTCATTTTCCCTAATGCTTCCCCTGCTCCCACACCAGAGAACAAGCGACAGCCTGTTCCCGATAGGCACCTTCAAGAAACACGTTCCTAGAAACCCAGGAGTGAGAAGGCAACTTTATTTCTTACACCAGTAGAGCATATTCCTTCTCTGAGGTCCTTTGGTTAAAAGAACAGGCTATTGTTAAGTCTCTATTTGGCAAGAAAAAAACTAAAATTGATCAATGGCTTGGGGTTGCTTTTTCCTTAATGACTGCGACTGCTTTGCTTTCACAGTGTTTTTTTAGGGATATTGTTTACTCCAGCTTCAGCCCTGCTCAGAACACTTGGAATTCAAATAAACTGCATTGCATTGCATTTTCTGGCAGGCACCCAGTGCAATGAATTTCAAACTAGTGTTTGATTTTGTCAGCTACAAGGCAGAGAGTCATCTCACTAGTCAAGATTAATTCTTCCAGTTGCTACACAGCATGACCCCATGAATCTGCTGCCAGTCACATCACTGAGGTCACGTTATCCCTTGTAACAGTACCCCAAAAACATGGTAAAGTGCAGATGGTGATCTGCAGAGTTAGGAGACTTTGAACCTGTGGTATTTAATACCTGGAATTAACGGTGGGTGTATCTACTGACATTTGGAAGAAAGAGAAAAGATTTTCAACCTTTAGGGTGATTTATAAAGACTTAAAATATTTGGAGTTATTTGTGGTTGCAGATCTTAAACAGATAATTGAAAAAGTGTTGATCAGACATGACTTTTCATTAATGAGACGGGAAGAACAAATGAACTTTTCTTAGGTCAAGAGATCTTCCCAAAAATATTATTTCCCCGCCCCCTCAAAAAAAAAAAGATTGATGTTATATATATTTTCAAGTCAAGGTTTCCCAATGAGCTTTACAACATGCTACATGAATGAACATGAAGACAAAATATCACTCAGACCTATTACTCTGACCCACGCACAGCACGGGCTACTTAACACCAGCTTTAAAGGGGGATCCTGGCCAAGGCCTCCTCCCTCCCACTCATTTTGCATACAAGAATTAGCCAGAGCCCCCCTGGTTCCTCACATGCTTCAAGCAAGTCTCCTGCAGCACTGAGATGTTTGCGCTTCCCTTTCCTCCTCAGAAAGAGCCCTCCTGCCAAGCAGCCCAATTGCCTAAATCTTCATGTCAGCCTGGAGACTGGAAACAATACTGCTATTGCACAAGCCAGTCCCCAAAACATTGAAGGGTTGTGCCTGATTTCTTCATGAATGGTCTTCCTGTCACCAGGGCCATGAGGAAGGACAGATCCCCACCCCAAGCCCTGGCTGCCATCTTAAAAGAGCCGGGTATTTCTGCTGCAGTGCTCAGCAGCAGGCGCTGCTGATATTTAGCTCTTACAACTCATCACCTGAAGAAGGGTTCCCTGAACATGCAGTCACCATCTCCATTGAAGCCGCGGGCTCAGACAGATGGCCCCAAAGTGGCACGGTGTTGCCTGGCTGATCTCATGGGGGGCAGCTTGGAGGTCAGCGTTCCCCCCCAGGCACAGCTGCGGCTGCTGGATGGGGCTGGAGGATGCTGACAACACGCTGCGGCTCTGCCCACAACCCGGGAACAAGGGGGTTGCTTCGGTGAACATGAGACCCCAAGCTGCAAGGGGCACAGCTCTTCTGCTGCTGCTGCCTTAGGAGAAAGATTTTTCTGGTGCACGATGGCTCCACATACTTGAAGCACAGCATAGGGCCACCCTGGCAAAGTTCTTCTGTGGTATTTACGTTATTCAGGGTGTTTTATCCTGCAGCTTTGCACTGAAGAAATTCTTTCTCTGCTTCAGGGACAAAGTGCTTTTATTTGAGACACCTGGCCTGGGACTGTGAATTATGCACTGTCAAGATCCGGGTGCCCCAAAGGGAGCTGGAGCTCAGCGTGGCAGAGAGGAGCCAGCAGTGGCTTGAGTGCACTCTGGCTGCAGGAGGCATCTCTGGGTTCCAGGGACCTGTGCTTCCCTTCCTTTCTGTTAGGAATTGCAGGCAACCTGGAGTCCAAGTAGCATTTTCAAAAGGTCTCCAATTGCACTCACCTTCCTGTCCTCCCCTGCATTGTTGCTTTGTTCTCCCTCAGTTTTCCTTCACCTTGCCACATTTCCTCCCTTTTTACCTTTAATTCCTCATCCTCAGATAGCATCTCACCATTTCTCCAACCTTACAGTCCTCTAGCTTCCTCCTTTTCTCTCCCCCACCTTTCTTAGCAACCAGGTCTAGTCCTCTATTCAGGGAGAGGGAAGTGGAGGGAAGCTGCTGGGCTTTTCTTCTCATTATTACTAAATCCAGCACCTCCCTGCTCTTACATTTTCATCATCACCACTTCAACCAACTCTTCTTCCTGCCCCAGCCTGGCATTGCTGTCCCATGATAGCTCTTTGGTGACCTCCCTTGGACTCTGACTCTCCCTTACATCTTTACCTTCCAAGCACACTCTCACCAACTCTCACCTCCATGCTGATGCCCGTTTAATACCTGGCATCTTTGCTCTTTTCCCTTGATTTGCCCTGCAGCTGTGGTCTGTTTCAAACTTGCTGAAATGGATCTCACCTTTGCTGTGGACTGCTGCCTCCTTGGTCTGCTTGACTGTGATGATGGTATCTGATTTAGTCCTGCTCTCTGCATCTGACAGGTCAATACCAGCTTCCACAAAGTCCTCTCAGTCCTTTTCCTGTATATCATCTTTCACTTGCTCCCATCCTCTGTATACGACAGTTTCTGTGTCTCAGTTTTCTTCATCTTCTGCTGTCTCTCTAAAATCTGTCGGGTCACTTCACAGCCCTCCTCCTTTCCAGTTTTGTCTGCTCTTGCACCCACTCCCTTCAGCGTACTACTCTCTAAACCATTTTCTTAACTCCCTGGTTTTGCTGTCTTGCTTCCTAGCACCCACTGGATCCACCTCATCAAATACTAGCTTCTCTTTTCACCTTTCAGACCTTCCCTAGGTAATCATCCTTCAGCCTTTGACATTGCCTTGGTTTCCCCCATATAGACATGACAAATTGCTGAGAAGGGCTGGGCTCTGCTCAAGCCTCATCTCCTTAACGAGGCACTCAGCTCTCTAATTTACGACCCTGTCTAAGCAATATGACTCCTCTTCCTCCCATTCTTCCTTCCTCTAGCCCCAGCTTGGAAAATAGAGATGTACGATGGCCTGTCCACATCAAGCCACTCAGAAAAATTTCCTGGAACTCATGAAAATTGTGAAGTGAAACTGGCTTAATAGCATCAACCGAGTCATCTTCACTTTTAATGAAAACATCCATGCAGTTAGATGGAGATGAGATTTAACTAATTCTCTTCACATTTATACTTCCTAGATTGCTTCCACAGGCACCCACCTTTGGAAATCTCTCATCACATCATGGTCGTTTCTCAGCAGTCGCCAGTGCTTGACTGTTGTACGTTTTTTCTTTTTCTGTCTGTGGGCACTTCTTTTCAGGGTGCACCTCTTTTCTCTTGCTGTATAACATCCAGAAGAACAAGACCTCAACCTCCATTGGGCTCTGGCAGCACCAGAATTAATAAGTTCTGTAGCTGCTGCGCCTCAGAGTCAGGGCTGCACTGGGTGGCAGTGCCCCATCCAAACCGTACTCCAGGGGGAACTGGCATCAATTTTCTGGCAGAAGAAGAGGCTGCCTGAAGGGAAATGGCTGCTGCAAGTAAGATGCAGAACTCAGTGTTTCCTCATACTTGGGATACTTGGCACAGAGGTTATGAAAATAAAGGACAATCAACTCTTTTCTAGGGAAGTGGGTACAAAGATAATTTTGATGTAAATTCTTTTCAGAAACCAATTTCCCCCCATGAGAATGCTGGCATTTAAATGCATTTCAAAAGCTAAGAAAAATGCTTAATTTGTTCTCCACTGCCAGACAGGAACACTGCATTTCAGATTTGTCTCCAGAACTTCCTGAGCAAGTGGGTTTGCCATGTTAACATCACTCTTAGTTGTGGTTAACTCCTGCTGAGTGCCAATACTGCTATGAGTCTGTTGATTGTTTTCCATGATGCAAAAGAGAGTAGTGTTTTGGATATACAGTGGGATTTACCTTCACTGTTAATAAACCACGCACTAATTAAAATTGAGATAAGACTGTTGTTTTGAAATAAAATATACAGAAAGTTATTTCTCATTTCTTCTTTATGAAACGATACTGAGGCACTCATTCTGGATCAATATGTTAACTTTTTGGCCACCCCTCTTTGGTTTTTCTGTCTTGAGCAAATGGTTGATGAATGGTACAAAACTGAAAGAACTGGATCTTCACTAATCACTAATTTTGCCAGCACCCAGATGGCTAACCAAAGGAATTTGTTACATTCAACACTGAATTGATTTCCAATGGGTCCATTAGAGCGAAACAATTTTCAAAGTGTCTCTAAATTGAGGGGGGTAGGAAGTTAGCACAGGAGCTAAGAAAACTGCCCACTGGAAGAGCTC